GGCCACTGTACTCTAGTCTGGGCGACAGAGTGAGACTCCAACTCAAAAAAAAAAACCAAAATAAAAAACACCAACCAAGAGCAGATTAGTCTGGAGACCATCTACGTTTCCCAAGAGGATGCTGCTGGGCATGGCTGTCTCAAGGCTGCTTCAAGTTGTTTTTCTCAGACTGGGGAAGTTAGAGTCACACTTTATTTAACTAGCATTGGGCTTTTCTAGTGAATTATCTTCAAGTCGAAATATTCCTTTTTCATAAGTTTTTAAATGGAAAACTGTGATGAAAAATTTAAGGTTTAATTTCTTGCTTACGAAGAAATAAGCCAGCCAAATGTAACTGTTAAGCTCTTGTTCTTGACTGAGAGTGGTGGTTTATGCCTATAATCCTGGCATTTTGGGAGGCCAAGGCAGGAGGATCTCTTAAGCCCAGGAATTCGAGACAGCCTGGGCCACATAGTGAGACACTGTCTCTACAAAAAATCAAAAACTTAACAAGGCATGGTGACGTGTGCCTGTAATCCCAGCTGCTTGGGAGGATAGGGTGGAGGATCACCTGACCTCAGGAGGCTGAGGCTGTGGTGAGCCATAATTGTGCCACTGCACTCCAACCTGGGTGACAGAATGAGACCCCAACTCAGAAAAACACCATCATCACAACGACTATAACAAAACCTTGTTATTGAAAGACTGTTTCCAGTTTTTCCTTGATGCAGAATTTTTTTTTTTTTTTTTTTGAGTTGGAGTCTCACTCTGTCACCCAGACTGGAGTGCAGTGGCACGCTCCCAGCCACCGAAGCCTCAACCTGCTGGGCTCCGGCGATCCTTCCGCCTCAGCCTTCCAAGTAGCTGGAACTACTGGTGCGTGCTACCACGCCTGACTAATTTTTTTTTGGATTTATTGTAGTGATGAGGTCTCACCAAATTGCCCAGGCGGGTCTCAAACTGCGGGCTCAGACAATGATGCAGAAATTTTAAATATCAGTCCTTATGTCAACTCAGAAGCCCATTTTAAACATGGGCATTTTTAGGCCAGGCTCAGTGGTTCAGCCTGTAATCCTGCGCCTTTGGGAGGCTGACGTGAGTGGATTGCCTGAGCCCGTGGGTTTGAGACCTGCCTGGGCAGCAAGACCTCATCTCTCCAATAAATCAAAAAATCAGCCGGGCGTGGTAGCGCGTGCCTGTAATTCTGGCTACTGGGAAGGCTGAGGCGGAAGGATCGCCGGAGCCCAGCGGGTCGAGGCTGCGGTGGCCGGGAGCGGCCACTGCACTCCAGTCTGGGCGACAGAGTGAGACTTCAACTCAAAAAATAAAAATAAACATGGGCATTTTTGTAATAATGGGCTTTATTTCTATTTCTTCCTTTCCTTTATCAGTCTTCTATCATGCCACTTACTTTCCTACTTAATCAAAAGTTATTTAGGGAGTAAGTGAATTCATAGACAGTGTTATCGGATAACTAACATGCTTTTTGAATAATCTGTAGGTCAGACCTCTGCAGCCAGCACTCATTAATCACCCACTGCATGCCAGGCACTACTGGGTTAGGCCCTAGAGATATAAAGATGACAAAGATTGTCCCTGCCATGAGGCCACCTTTGACTTTCTGGTGCTGTTGGGCAAATCTGTCTTTATGGGTGTGGTTCTAGTTTGGGTGCTTGTCTTAGCTGGGGTTTTGTGAGCATATGATGGTGTGGAAAATAGCCTTGAGCTCTCTAGAAGACATTGTTTAAATACAGGGTGCTGTTTCTCAGGAAATGGGCCACTCTTTCCAAGTTCCTATGGAAGGGCACATGGAGATGATTGGCCATCATTTTGGGGCCTGAGAGGAATATGTGTTGGGGGCGAGGGGTATGTTCAAGAGGTGGGGAATTCAGTGTTACAAGCCTAATGAGCTTTTGGCCACATCATATATTACCCCTGACTGACCATTGGGGATGCCCCTTTTTGCTTTCCAGGATAAGCCAAATCTGAAGGAGTTTGATGACTGTGAGCACAGAAGACAAGATCTTAAAACCATGTTCTACACCCAGTGACAAGTTAGTTATTGACAAGTTGTTGGTGAACTTTGAGAATTTTCTGAAAGATATTTCCACAGAGGAAGCCAGAAAGGATCAGGAAAACATTTTGGATGGGGAAAAGAATGAGTGTGTGACCTCTCCTTATAGGTCCTACCGTCCCCCAGGGAAGAGTTTTCAGGAGTCCCTAGTTTCAACTGAAATTCCTCTCAGGAAATCCCAACGCCTATGTTCCAGGATGCCAGAAGGGACCTGCCCGCAAGTCAAACAGCAACTTCTCCTTTCTGGTCAAAGTTTGGGGCCGAATTATCTCTGTGAAGAAGGAGCACCGAATCCATATTTGAAAAATTCGGTGACAACCAGAGAATTTCTTGTGTCTAAAAAACTTTTAGAGCACAGCAAGAGAGAAGTCTAAATGCCACATGACATGAGAACCTCAGAGTCTCAGTGTGAATGACCCTTCCTGAGAGACGATATCAAGACTTGGCAAGTGGCACTTCCTGGGGCCTACCCTGTCCTTCCCTGAGTTTAAAAAAAAAAAAAAAAAAAGTCTCTCCTGCTCTGAGCTGTTAGTTGAGCTTGGTTGACACCTAGGTGAACTTGTGCTGGGAAGAAGACAGGATGGTGACCCAAGGCTGAGTACTTTGCAGAGGAAAAGCAATTCTTTTCTTTTGTTCAGACACCAAGCTCTCACTGAGGCTTCCTGACAGAAATGACTTTGAAGAAGGAGCCTGGGTTCTGATCTCTGAGAACCCCTGAGGTGGACATACGTGGCCTCCTGGGAACTGAGCCAAGGTCACAGGCTTTGCTGGGGCTGCTCCCCAGAGTTCCTGGAGGGCTGTCCCCAGTTGTCAGGAGACAGCTGTTTAGTTGGTTCTTGGGTGGTCTGGTGGGAGACCGGGCTTGGGCTTCCCCTCCAAGGTAGCCTTGAAGTCTTACTCTCCCCCCACCCAGGGGCACATTTCCCAAGGTTATGTCTGAGGCACCTCACAATCCTCGTGAAATCCCAAGTATCTGCAGCAACACCCCACCCAGGTCTCATCTTGCCTAGTTTACAGCACGTTGGCCGCTAATACATCAAGGAATGGGGGGCGTTGGGACGCTGGGGAGAGGACTCTGCTGGGCACAGCTCTGCCCAGTCTCCAGGCCACTTCCCGTCTCCTATTGCCCGTCTATCTTGCACCTGAGCCTGGGAGAAGACAGGCACTAGACATTGCAGTGGCTGTCATACAGGAAAAGGGACTTTGACCCCTCCACTGGCTCAGAGCCCAGGAATGCGTAATGAACGTACCCTTCAAAGGCCTCTTCCCAGAAGTATCTGAGCAGGGTCCGAGAACATGTAAATGTTTAGCAACTTTGCTGCCCCAACCTCTAGGACTTCTGGTCCTTTGCTGAGCATAGAGCTTGTGACAATTAGTAGAACCTTTTGCACAAGAACTGATCCCAGGGCTCAGCCACTGAAAAGGCACTGGGCTCCTACAATGACCGTGGTGCCAGAGTCGGTTGGTACTCCCTCTGACCTTTAGGGGAGGTCACTGGAGCCTGGTGAGATCAGGGGCGGGTGAGGCAATGAGTGAGTGACCTTGGGCGTCACGAACCCTGTTGTTGTCAATCAGGAAGGTTTGAGGAGTCAGCACTTGTGTCGCAGTCATGAATGTCGCACACCACCAACTCAGGAGTGCAAAAACATCGCTTTACTTTCCTATGACTAAAGGCTATTGCTAGCCCAAGATCCTGACACTTCAAAGTAACCTCAGCCCAGTTTGGTGATTTCTAGTTGCTCCTCTCTTTCCTCTTGGCCCTATCTTCTGCTTCTTTTTTCCACAGCTGCCAGAGCTTCTCACCTTCAACTCTCTCTTTTTTTGGTTTCTTTTCATTCCTTTGTCCCCTTCCGTCAGCCTCCTTTGATCATTTTCCATAGTTATTTTTGCCACCGTTGAGAGGTGGGAAGATGGCAGCTGTTTTGTTCTGGATGGGCCTGCAATGGTTTCTAGGAGTCTGCACCTCCTGCCCACGAGAGGAGCAGTTTCCCAGGCGCCCTGGAAACACACATGTAACTCTCCAGAGCTGATTCACAGGGCAGGGGCCTCAGAGCTCAAAGTGCTGCTGACTTTCTGTCTACATCCAGTCACCAACTGTCCCCACTCCGGGTGCCCTGGGTGGCCTCTGTCACTGCAGAAGGCCATCTGTGTTTTCTCTGTTTATCGTCAGAAATGTTATAAGGACATAAACAGGAAGACTTGAGTTTTAGCAAAGTCATTAAAAATGGATAAAATTCCTGTTAAAGAGTTTTTGGATGGTTCTGGGAATCATGCAGACAGCTAGATTAGTGTCCTGTTAGTGACCTTTCTTTAACAATAGCAGGATTTTTTTTGGCAGAGAAGTCATTCTGTGTTTTTTAACAAATAAAGTGATACGTTTCTTCTAGTTCTTAGGAGGCTGCAGTGAAAACACTACGTGGGGTAGGGGGTTAGAAAAAGGCAGGATATAGGGAGAGGTTGTAAGGAGAGCCCCCAACATGGATCCCTCTGAGCTCACTGCTGATCCTGCCTGCATGCAGGGAAAGCTTGTGCTGGTCTGATTCTTTCTATCACACCTCTAGTTACTGGAGCAGGCACTCTGCAGGCCAGAGCTGCACCCACCATGGGCTCAAACCTGGCCCTGTTTTTGGAGGGCATGAGCTAAAAGCAGTATTGACATTTTTAAATGGTTGCAAACAAAATAAAAAAAGAGAATAGTATCTTGTGACATGGGAAAAATACATGAAATTTAAATTTCGAGCCAGGTGTGGTGGCTCACGCCTGTAATTCCCAGCACTTTGGGAGTCTGAGGAGAGAGGATTGCCTGAGCCCACATGTTCGAGACCAGCCTGGGCAACTTGGCAAGACTTCATCTCTACAATAAAGCAAAAAACTAGCCGGGCATGGTGGCACATGCCTGTAGTTCCAGCTACTTGGAAGGTTGAAGTAGAAGGATCTCCTAAGCCCAGCAGGTCGAGACTGTGGTGGCTGTGAGTGTGCCCCTGCAATCTAGCCTGGACTACAGATTGAGACTCCAACTCAAAAAAGAAAGAAAGAAAGAAACTTAAATTTCAACATCCACAAGTAAAGCTTAATTGGAACACAGTCATGCTCATCATTTATGTGTCATGTGTGGCCACCTCTCCCACCAGGGCAGAGCTGAGTAGTTGCAACAGAGACAGTTGCAATCATGAAGGCTCTTTGTAAAAAATTTTTATGGATATTGCTGCAGTGGGGGAGCCAAGACTGTACTGTGTTTTAACTTTGAATTTACTGTTAATTAAAAAGAAATCAGGAAACGTCATTTTGGGTTTCCAGCTGAATAGGGACTGCCCTCTTTAGAAGGGCACACACACCGGCTCCCCCAGCCCTCATAACTTCTTGTCTCCTTCCCATAGCTAAGGCGGGTAGCTGTGGCTGTCTCTTATACCAATGTGATGGCCAGAGTGATTTTGCCCCCAACCCTCAAGCCTCAGACACTTGGCTATGCCTAGAATGTAGTTGATTGTCATAACTAAGAATGTGCTACTGGCATCTAGTGGGCAGAGGCAGGTAGTGCTGGTAATCATCTTTAAATGCACAGAACAACCTTCAACACAGAAATCGTCTGGCTGAAAGAGTCAGCAGTGCTGAGACTGAGATCTCCTGAGCCAACCTCTGCCCTCTAGACCTACAGCATTAGCCTGGGTAAGACTCAGCATCTGCAGAGACTTCTAGGTGTCCCTTTTAAAAAAAATGTAAATGTGTTTTAGACTCAATTTTATAACAACAATCCCAATAGCTCTGAATACGAATTCTTTATATCATTTTTAATTAACTCCTGATGTGATCTGTTATGATCTGTATCTGTGTGCATTTACACCTACTTGCAAGTTATATATTGAATACATTGTGTTCTCCCTTTACTTACTTACTTTCTTTTTTTTTTTTGAATTGGAGTCTCACTCGGTCGCCCAGACTGGAGTGCAGTGGCCGCGCCCGGCCACCGCAGCCTCGACCTGCTGGGCTCCAGCGATCCTTCCGCCTCAGCCTTCTGAGTAGCCGGAATTACAGGCATGCGCTACCACGCCTGGCTGATTTTTTGATTTATTGTAGAGATGAGGTCTCGCTGCCCAGGCGGGTCTCGAACCCGCGGGCTCAGGTAATCCACTCACCTCAGCCTCCCAAAGGCGCGGGATTACAGGCTGAGCCACCAAGCCCAGCTCTACTTACTTACTTTCTTTTTTCTTTTTTTTTGAGTTGGAGTCTCACTCTGTCACCCAGACTGGAGTACAGTGGCACACTCACGGCCACCCCACAGTAGACCTGCTGGGATCCAGAAATCCTTCCGCCTCAGCCTTCCAAGTAGCTGGAACTACAGGCATGTGCTACCTTGCCTGGCTAATTTTTTTTTTTAATTGTAGAGATGAGGGCTTGCCAAATTGCTCGGGCTGGTCTTGAACCTGCAGTCTCAGGCAATCCACTCGCCTCGGCCTCCCAAAGTGCTGGGATTACAGGCTGAGCCACCAAGCCCAGCCTCCCTTTACTTTCAGTTGTGATTTCATATATAAAATTCATGTTTGAGGCCTGGGCATGGTGGCTCACACCTGTAATCCCAGCACTTTGGGAGGTTGAATTGGGAGAATTGTTTGAGCTCAGGAGTTTGAGACCAGCCTGGGCAACATAGCGAGACCTCATCTCTACAAAAACAAAAACCAAAAAATTAACTGGGCATGGTGGCGTGTCTGTAGTCCCAGATACTTGGGAGGCTGAGGTGGAAGGATTGCCTGAGCCCAGGAGGCCAAGGCTGCAGTGGGCCGTGACCATGCCACTGCACTCTAGCCTAGGCAACAAAACGAGACCTTGGTTCAAAAATAAAATAAAAATAAAATTCATGCATGAATATAGCATTAGAATGGCCACACAGACCTCCAAGTGTGCCTGAATAGTGCGGTTAGTTGATAAAATCGTTTACAACATCCTCCCGGTATACAAAGGAATTTCTATAAACATCAATCTCTTTTCATTCTTGGAGATGTTTCTAAAAGTGGAATTGCTGAGTCAAAGTTGTATGGTTATGGTCACATATTGCCCTCAAAAAGGCTATCTTGATCTACATTATCACCAGAGGTGTCTGATCTTGGGAACCTTTGTCCTTTTTCATCGATAACCAGCGATTTACTACTGTAAACTTGATTTTGTCAATTAGGAATAGTTCATGAAACTTGGTGTTGCTTTAATCCTTGCGAAACTAAATTTTTCCCACCTGAGTTTTGCCGTCTTTATGTCCCTGTGTTGACATTACAGAATCCTCTGCCTCCACACTCCTGGGGACATTGAGAGACCAGCTGAGCTATTAGAAATTAGAAGCACTCAGTAGGACCTCAGCTCATTGAGTGGACTCTGTTATTTGGTT